GACATGCTGGACGAAGGCTGTCCTTACATGAGAGGTAGATGAGACCACCACTTCTTGACATGACAGACAAGATTTCGCTGGAGAAGAACAACAGTGGTTTATTTGACAGTCTGGTCAAGTAACATCTGGATTAGAGAACCAATGCTTCTAAAAGTGCCTTCGGTTAGGTATTTGGCTTTTATTGCCAAGGGTCATTTCCTGCAGGAGCACACAGGAGCGGAGTTCTGGCAGTAAAGAGCCCCACCCCCTGCTCCCAGCAGCCCTCAATCAGAGCAAGAAGCAGCCAGGTAAGTTGCAGAGCCCCCCCAGTCCAAAACAGTCTAGTGGCACCTTTAAGACCAAGTTTTATTCAGGTACACGCTCTCCCTCCTCTGCGAGGACAGATTTGCACGTTTCCCCCCCCCCCGCAAATAGCTAGCAATCCAAAACAGTCCAGTGGAGCCTGAGCGGTGGGTGTTGCCTTCTGACACACTTCCGGTGATGTCAGGTGGTGTGGCATATGCAAATAAGTTATGCTAATGAGCTCCTGCACCTCTTTTTCTATGAAATGACCCCTGTTTATTACTATATCCTTGCTGCTCACTTCTCTTATGTTGTATATCTCTGCACATTCCTTTGGTGGTGGTGGGAAGTACTGTCAAGTCCCAACCAATTTCTGGCAATCCTGTAGGTATTCAAGCCAAGAGACGTTCAAAGGTGGTTTGCCATTACCTGCCTCTGCATCCCACGTTCCTTTACTAAACCCTATTAATTATATTTTGGCAAACCAGTTTGGTGTAGAGGTTAGGAGTGTGGCCTCTAATCCGGGAGAACCGGGTTTGATTCCCCACTCCTCCACATGCAGCTGCTGGTGTGACCTTAGGTCAGTCATAAGTTCTTTCAGAGCTGTTCTCTCAAGGGCAGTTCTCGAGAGAGCTCAGCCCCACCTACTTCACAGGGTGACTGTTGTGGGTAGGGGAAGGCGATTGTAAGACGCTCTGAGACTCCTTCGCATAGTGAAGGGCGGGGTATAAATCCAATCTCCTCTTCTTTTGTGGTGTTCTTGGGTTGGGGTATTCAGTCTTAATCCAGTACTGTAGCCCTATTTGGCACAGCTACCAGAACACTGGTCTTTGGAAATGAAGTTGCAAGTGCCCCACCTTGCAGGGGTGACTTCTTGATTTTGACCTAGGAGGGCCAAGCAACTTGGTCCCTTGGTCTGGCAGGTTAGTTCAGGGAACTGGGGGGAGTCATGCTCCAGCACTTTGTGGTTTTTGTTCTTGACTATAAAGTACTGAGTCTGATGCATTGAGGAGTGATTTCAGCTCATACTTTATTAAGTTACAGGATAACTGGAGTCTGGCCTGTGGTCAGCTTAGATCCCCGTGTAAACCACACCCCAAACACACACTCACACCCGTGATACGCTATTTACAGTGCACTGGAGTCCCATAGGTCCCTTTCCGGATCCTAGCCCTCTGATAGGTGTGCGCTAGGATCCGTTTGGGCTATTGTCTCTATGAGCGAAGCTAGGGCCCTTCACATGGCCACGTGCGGACCCGACCACGTGCGTGGTCGTACTCAGTGCACATCACCTCTCCCCCTTTGGTCCGGATTAACCTAATAGACGTAGTCTCTTAGATACGTGGGCTTCTTTTGCTCTCGGGTGGAGTGGCAAACGTCCGGAGCTGGGGTCATGTTGTCGGGGGTTGCTCTGGTCAGTGGCTGGAGTGCTGTATCCAGTCCTGGTTGCTTGACCGGGATGGTTGGGCTGCTGGGTTCCTGGCTTCTGGGTGGTTCCACGGAGGAATCGTCGTCTGTCTCTGGTGGAGCCCTTGGACCCAGCTGCAAGGGAGTGGGAGCCTCGGGTTCCCTGAGACAGGGCCTTCGCAGTCACTGTCGTCCGGATCTGCTGGGAGAATGCAGCGGTGCAGCCGATCAATGTGCCGCTTCAGTAGTTGCCTGTCTTCGCTGGAGACCTTGTATGAAAGCGGCCCTGTCACCTGGACGACCCTAGCAGGAATCCATGCTGGGCCCCTTGCGTAGTTCTGGGTGTTAGATCGCCGCTAACAAAGGATCTGAGAGTGATTTCAGCAAAGAAGTGATTCAGCTTTATTGAAGTAACGAACAAGCACTTAAACGCATTCATAACCAGAACAAGAAACAATTGGGAGCTAGGCTCCTTTTAAATATTCCCGGGCTAACATAGCCACACCTATTTACAATAATCAACCAATGAGGTTGTTTGGATAAAGACCAATGAGCTTACTTCCCTCTCAGGGAACAGTGGCAGTTCTGATTGGTTGCTGTTGCAGAGCGACCAATAGGAGTTCACATCAGAGGAGCCTTTGTTTGGCTCAAGCTTAACATAGGATGTCAATGCAGTGATTCATGTAACACGTTCAATACATTACACTGGGCGTACCCTGGAGAAAATCCTTGCAGGGCCTCCTGCTCTTCGGGACCAGTGCTGTGTTCCAGCGCCCTGTCTGGGTGGAGGCGATCCAGCTGTGTCATCAGGCGTCATCCTAGGAGGAGTTTGGCAGGACTGCACCCGGTCATGGTGTGGGTGCTGAATAGGAAAGCAGCCAGCTTGTAGTCCCAGTCCCCGAGGTCCATGCAGCGTAGGGCATCCGTTTGTTGTTGGGTGGAATGGGGCGGAGCGGATGTGCCTTGTACCGTAGTATTGTGTAAACTCTAGGAATTCGGCGGAGGTAAAAGCTGTACCATTGTCCGTGACCAAGGAGTTGGGGATACCTCGGGTGCCAAAAATCCGCCACATTGCACGGATGGCCGAGCAGGAGGAAGTGGAGGGTACTGGAACGACCTCTAACCATTTAGTGTATGTGTCCACTAATATGAAGAAAATCTGCCCCTGGAATGGTCCTGCAAAGTCCAAGTGTAACCTCACCCAGGGTTTGGGTGATGACTCCCATGGTCGCACCGGGGCTTTTAAAGGCTCGGGTCACGACTCCTGACATTTCTGACAGCGTTTGACCTTGTCTTCGATATCACTGTCTAACCCCAGCCACTACACGAAGCTTCGTGCTAACGCGTTCATCCTGATGATCCCTGGGTGGGTCAGTGGGGGAGGCCACTGGAGGAGGGTTGCCAGGTCTGGACTGGAAAATACCTGGAGACTTTAGGGGTGGATCCTGGAGAGAGCTGGGTTTGGGGAGAGGAGGGACCTCAGTAGGGTACAATAACATGGAGCCCGCCCTTCAAAGCAGCCATTTTCTCCAGGGGAGCTGATCTCTGTCGGCTGGAGAGGAGTTGTAAAAGCGGGAGATCTCCAGGCGCCATCGGGAGGATGGCAACCCTGCATTGGAGGGGCGAGGGTACCTGGCGCTGGAGGGGGGTGTTTGCGAAGACATGGCTCACGGAGGCTGTGAAGGGCCGCCCTGGAGGCTCAGCAGGGCACCTCCTCGGCACTGGGCCCCTGCGCGCTCTGGCTGCCTCCTGGGGCTTGGACCAGGAGGCAGCCCAGGCAACTGAAGGCACGCTACAAGAAATGCAGCTGCTCAGCGCCGCAACACAAGGGCTGGCTAGGCTTGTAGGGCGGAGACGTTTTCTGCAGGGTGACTCATCCATCACTAGAGATGTAAAATTTCCGGAAATTTCAAAGCTCAGGAAAAAACCCAGTTTTTTCCAGGGAAAAAAATTGGAAATTGTCAGAAAAATTGACAATTATTACAAACAGAATTTACTTTTTAAATAATATTTATTTGTAATTGTAACAAATGGAGCAACAATCTCCTGAACTGTTTACTAGTTTATGTGGAACAGACAAAAAAACCTCCACAAAACAATTTTTAAAAATCCAGAAGTAACAATTCATATCACCTCTCCACAGTATTAAATAAAAAACCCAATCTCATAAAAAGAAAGGCATCTTGTTCTTGCATTGGAGGGTTCAGTTTGTAACCTAGGACTTGCTTGTCCTCAGTGCACAGAAATTAGATCAATCTGATACTCTATATATATATTATTTGGAAAATATTTGAACACCTTGTCTTAAAATATTTTATTCATCATGTTAAAGTAAAAGGTTCCATAATCATTTTTTTTCTTTTCTTTTTTCAATTTTTCTGGAAAAAAGGAAACAAAGCCGGGTTTCTCCCCCAAATCTTTCCAATTTCCCCTCCCTCACATCTCTAGCGCTTGCCAGGACTCCCCCCACCCCGGAGCTGGGCGGTACCCCAAGCCCTCCCCGAGGCGCCCGGGCGGGAAGGGCCGCTGCAGCAGCAGCCGCGCGCGGAGCCGGCCTGGGGCGGGGCCTCCGCTGCTGTCGCCTCCTCCTCCTCCTCCTCGCCCCCCGCCCCCCCGCTGGCCTCGGCACTTTCCGCCGGGCGGCTTCGGCTCCCTGCCCCGCTGTCCGGCCCTTTATGTCTGTGCGGCGGGTGCGCTTGCGCCGGCAGCGCCATTTTCCGCCTCCCTCCCTGGGCGGAGACTGTGGCGCTGGGGAGCCGGCGGCCGAGAGGAGGCCCGAGGAGCTCGTTGGCTGGCTGGGTGGCGCGCGGCGTAGAGGGTCTTCCCGGCCGCACCCCCCCCCCCGGGGGGC